AGGAGAGATGCTCCAGTCCCCTCAGCATCCTCGTAGCCCTCCGTTGGACTCTCTCCAGTAGCTCCTCATCTTTCTTGAAGTGGGGAGCCCAGCACTGGACGCAGTACTGCAGATGGGGCCTCACCAGGGCAGAGGAGAGGGGGAGGAGAACCTCCCTCAACCTGCTGGCCACACTCTTCTTAATGCACCCCAGGAGACCATTGGCCTTCTTGGCAGCCAGGGCCAATGGTACAAGCTGCTTCTGCCCCCCAAAAAATCAGTTCATGTGTCCAGTTTCATTTAATGTACGTCTTAAACCAGCAAGATCTGCAGGGATGGTGCCTGGGAGGATAAGCTGGAGGGCGTGTGATGCCATTCTTGTTAAATGAACGGGGAACCGTTTATGCACATTTTCAGAATAACCTGCCCCATCCCAACCCCCTTCCTTGCTCTTAGAAAAATTATTCGCCAAAAGGGCTGCTGCCCTGCAAAAAACTGGCCGTGGTACGAGGCGGCTGTGTTGGGGGTCAATTTTTAGTTGTCTCCTGAGGAGTGTTTTTAAGTAGTGATGATCTTGAACACATAAGAATGTTTTCCTTGCACAATTTGGGATCGCAGCTTGCGATTAGAGCAGCTCCTTGCTCTGTTGCTGTTCGGTGATTTTTTGAAAGCCGACAGATTTGCAACAGCGTAAAGATCATCCTTGGAGATAGCCTTTGCTGTAAAGCCCTGTTCGTCGACGACGAGCCGCCGGTGTAGTGAGGCAAATTCTTCCAGACAAATATAGGAATAGTGAATGAAGTGTCTGAACACTTGTTCGACGTGAAAATAGTTGGCTATGAAAGAAACTAATACTGTGTTTCGTTCCCTTAGAAATTACTCTGTGAGAAATTAGAAGAACAATTACAGGATCTGGATGTTGTCTTGAAAAAGAAGGAGCGTGCGGAACGCAGGTACTGCTGTTCGGTTGCGTTCACAGCAAGCTGCTGTGCAGAGGGAGGGGTGGCAGTGACGGCACAAGCGTTAAAATAACTGGGGACTGGGGAGGAAAGCAGCGACGAGACTGGGAGCTGGGGAGGCCAGTTTTAACTTCCCACTGAGTATTGGTGGCGCAGTGCTGGGAGAGCTTGTAAGAAGGGAGGAGAAGTCCAATAATGGGAAAGGATAAGCAAATAACTTTGTGTTAAGCTGGGGTTCAGGTGCCTGAACGCAAATCTGGCTTTGCTGTACCAGCAGTTCAATGGCGTTCAGCACTGGTTCAGCTGCGTGTGTTAGTAATACTGTCAGCTGTGTGTTCCTGCTGTAACCACGGTTAAGTCCTGACTTTCTCACACTGGTTGTCCAGATTAAGGTGCTTTTTCAGTCTGGTTGCCTTGGATTCTGTTAAATTTTGCCAAATTTTCAAGATTATGCAGTTGCTCTAGTGCAGTGGGTCAGCTGAATTACAGCTTTGAGTGAAACTTTGTGTCCACCCCTGCCATTACCGAAGGCTAAACACAAACCGGTCTGCTGCATTCATGAACAGCGTCCTTCGTATCTGGAACATTCCTATCTGCAGTTTTCAGACCTGAAAATGAGGGACATGAAACACAGTCTGCGTCATTTATACCTTTTAGGATATACATTGAGTACTTTGCAAAATTTAATAACATCTGTATGCATTATTAAACAAAACTTTGGATGAATTGCATCTTAAAAGGCAAATTTCACCAGAAGGCGAGACCCTTTTAAAGCAGGCGATTGAGCGGGCTTAGATCTGCAGCGGGTGCGGTAATACCACGTGGGGAGTAGCGATGCGGTGCTGGGAAGAGAGGAGCTCAATCTAGTGACAGAGCAGGTACCGGCCATTCCCAACATCGCTACTTCTGCTCAGAGCGGGTCTGGTAAAATTATCCACGGCTTGCCAATTCTAGTGAGTTTGCAGCTTTGGGAATGGAACTGTTGGCTATTTTTATGAGCGAGCTCAGCTTACACACAGCCTCCATCTGCGCCGGAGTATGGAACGTGAAGGAGCTGTGTCTGCTGTCCTGCTTTGTGGTGGGAAACTCATTACTAGTGAACAATATTTTTGAACCTATTTGGTAAATATTCTGCTGGCAAACATTACATGGGATGCAGGCTTTCTCCAGTCTGTCTTGCTTTCTTGAAATCACCAGTGTTGCATAAAATACGATCTTTTATCGGTCACAGGAGAGCATAGGATCGATGTTATAGCACCTTTCAGTGTCTGAAACAGATGTTTAAGAACTATTTTGCAATCTGATCCTCATACCGAATGAACCTCATGTTTGCTGTTGTATTATCCTAAGATGGATTTTTTTGTTTAAAATCTTTTAAAAAAAGAAATGAGCTTGGGTTATAAAAGATTTCATGATACAATAGTTGAGTATTGAAGTCTTTCAGCTTAATGGTATATTTTAACAAATTGTAAGGTGAAAAGGCTGAAGAGTTACAGTGCTAGAAGAAATGATAGTCCTTATTACAGCTTGGTGTAAAAGTTTAAGGAGGTTCACAGATCACACAGAAATGGTTGGTTGGTTGGGGCACAGAAATATTTCAGTGTTTCTGTAAACTCACAGTACGTCTTGTCTGTCGTCTTGGCAAAGAGAAGAAAGCCAACTGTCTCACTGTGGACACAACACACTTGGTAGATTCTTCAAACCACTGTCATTATCGTGCTTTTTCAACTGGCGATGCTGTCATGCTCTTTCAGTTCTCTGGCTTTCAGGAGTCTCACTGAAATCGATTCAGCTGCTCAGCTACGTTCTTACGCAAAGCGTTGTGTCACAGGGTTTTTCAATGAAAACTTTAGGTTTCACATTGACTTACAGATACATAGATCCAAGTCATACCTTTATTTTTTTTTTCTGTTCATGAATTGAAGATGCTCCTGTGACAACCTGGCTGCATTTCAGCTTTCTCACGTACACATTAACTCGAATAATCAAGTCCTGCCACTAGCTAGAGGGAGGGGACATTAAAGCTTTTATTGATGCCCCTTCTAGTTTATGTTAGAGACTCTCAGACATTCTTGAGAGAAGATCCCTCTTGGCTGCTTCTCCCAGGCCAAGTCAGGTGGAGTCCTTCCTTTCATGCACACTTTCATGGGTTCCCCATAGCAACTTTTGCAGCTGCTTACAGGAGAGAAGATGTTTTCTGGATTTGCCTAGGAAGAGTTTTTATAACTTGTCAGTGCTGATCTGCATCCCAGCTGTTGGAGACTTGTTGGTTCAGATGTTTAACCTGTTGGTTAAAGTGTTGAGCTTGCGTGTGCTACGTGCTAAGAAGGAGTGCGTTTGAGACTTGGTTTTGCATTTCACTCTAAGGCCCGTGCCTCAGCAGGATTGGCTTGCTTCACTTGCTGATTTCTGCAGCAGCATGTACTGAAACCAGGGAGAAGAAAAGCAGATCTCCAAAATCTTGCTGCTCGTGATTATAAACAGCTGAATTCTCATCTCTCTTGTCTCTTGATGTTTTGGGTTACAAGAAATACGAAGTGGAGGAAGCTATCAAAGACACTCTGAATACTAAAATGTTTACATTTCTGATTCCTTTCTCATTTCAGTGGTTGTATTCCTTGCCTTAAGATGCCATTATAATACGTTTTCAAGAGCATAGTGATTTTGCACAGGGTATGACAAAATTCTTCCTCATCCAGCCAGTCTCACGGTGCTCAGATGGATGAAGATTTCTTTTCATCTATCAGTTTGGAGAACTGACATTAGGAGACAAAAAACATTATTTTTATACACAGCCAGAAATTTCAATTTATACATAATGATACCGAGTTGTCCAAGTTCATGGTCTTTTTGCCTGTAAAATACCCTAAAATCAATTTTTACTCTTTGTCAGTAGTACTTTTGGAACCGTGCTTGTTCGTGTTATTTAAGAATATTCTAGATTCTTCAGTAAAGAGTTCTCCAGGAGGTTATTTCGATAAAAATGTATAGTGCAGAAGGCTAGTCAGAAGACTCTTAAAATTTACTTAGATTCTTTAGAAATTAATGGAAGTATTGGAACCCAGATTTTTACACAGATGTCTCTCTTTGCAATAAATAATGCATAATAATAAAAAACGCATAATAAATAAATAATGCATAATGTTTGTGAACAGGTCTAGATGACTTGTGTACATGATGCACCCTGTTGCGACTCATGCGTAGTGCGATATGTGCTCATACAACCACTCACTCTAACTTCACAAGTCTGATTCTGGTTGATGGAGACTCTGTAGCTCAGGAAGCCAGAAGAGGTTAGCGTTGGTTCTGGCACGATTTGATTTCAACTGTGTTGGTGTTTCACCGGATCCTGAAAGTTGGAAACCTCATGGCAAGTGTTGAGTTCATACCTTGCTCCCCCGCAGGATTGTTCTTCAGAGTGTATGGTCTAAAATAGCTTATTCAAAATAATTTTAATATCTGTAGAGGTGTGGCTTGCTTTTAGAGTCCTTGCAGAGCCCAATAAACGCCACCAATTTTCTTTGATATCTTCATTTGTTTAAATTATCCCGTGTCTTCCTAGAATGCGGCTAGTAGGGACCTAAGGTCATGCCAGCTTGGTTACCCCCCCAGTCTGTTTTAATACCTGGGTGTTCTTCCAGACCAACTGCTTTTTTGGAAGCTCAGTTCCATAGCCCAATGATCAGCACCTGCTGCTCTTTGCGAGGTGCTAGGATCTCCCAGAAATCTCTAGTTGGGACTGACAGATACGGCAAGACCTCCAGGAGACTGCACAGAATCACAGAATGGTAGGGATTGGAAGGAACCTCTGGGGGTCATCTAGTCCAACCCCCTGCCCAAGCAGGGTCACCCAGAGCAGGCTGAACAGGACCGTGTCCAGGCGGGTCTTCAATATCTCCAGAGAAGGAGACTCCACAACCTCCCTGGGCAGCCTGTTCCAGGGCTCCATCACCCTCAGAGGGAAGAAGTTCTTCCTCATGTTCAGCTGGAACTTCCTGTGCCTCAGTTTGTGCCCATTGCACCTTGTCCTGTCGCTGGGCACCACTGGAAAGAGTCTGACCCCATCCTCCTGACACCCACCCTTCAGATATTTAGAGGCATTTATTAGGTCCCCTCGCAGCCTTTTCTTCTTCAGGCTGAACAAGCCCAGCTCCCTCAGTCTTTCCTCGTAGGAGAGATGCTCCAGTCCCCTCATCATCCTCATAGCCCTCCACTGGACTCTCTCCAGGGGACTTGTCCCTTTCAGGAGCCGCACGTGGAGGCCAGGCAGCAGAGGCCATTCAGGTGATACAGGATGCCAGTGCTGAGGCAAGCTAAGCCTAAACTGAATTTTAGTTACTTTGATCTAATTCTGTATCATACTGTGGACAAGGGGGACAGCCTGCTTCTCCTTAGAAGAGTCTCTCCTGTACTGGAGTACTCTGCTCTCTCCAGCCTTCGGTCTAGTGTCCTCTAGACCAGTCTACCCTATTTTTTCAGCCTTTCTCAACAGGGTCTGTTTGCTGCCCTCCCGTAACTCCTGCTGGCCAGATCAGAGTTCCTCAGCTGAATCACACCTTGCTTGAGGGTGGCACCACCTACTCCAGCTCGGTGTGAACGGGGCTCGCTACCCAGGCGGGCTTCCTTCAGTTTTCCTGTGGGCCGTTCTCCCGTTGACGTGTCTGTTAGAATAGTTGTTTCCACGACAGCTCGACACTGTTGAGCTTTGTTCGTGCTGTTCTCTGGCAAAGAATTGCTGTGTAGGCAGTTGTTTGTTCCCTGGTGTTTCTGGAGTTGATTGTTCCTGCCCGGGTCTAAAATCTGGCACTTGTCCTTTTTAGATTGCGTCCCGTCTTTATGTAATTTTTCCAGTTCAGTGTGATTTTGAATTCCCATTTTATCTTTCAGCTTCTCCAAGGTTGGTGGTAATTATGGATCTGACAGCATAACCTTGATCACAACATTATTATTTTTCAGTTGTTTTTTAATTGCTTTTTACACCCCAATTCAGTCATTTCTGTGGTGCCCACAATCTTCCAGTACTGTTGTTTGTCAGAACTCTTTGGAAATCTCTTACATCATGCATGCAGAAAAATGTAATCATACGAGATTTAGCACGTAATTCCAACTGAAGTAACTATTTTCAGTCGGCGCATCCTCTTGGATGCTTCTGCGTAGCGACAGCGAAAGCTGCAAACAGTGCTAATTACAGCATCATTTTAGATACCTGCAGTCTTTCTGTAAGCTTGTTTTCTTTTTTCTCTCCCAAAGAAAAGAGCGACTGGTGTATGTGGGTATCAGTATTGAGAACATCATTCCGCCTCAGGTAAGTTACCGTGTCTGTGTTATTCTTTTGTTTTCCAAACTTCTCAGGGAAGAAATTTCTCAGTGGTGTGTCAGAAGTGCTGGTAGCATCTTGGCGAGAAAAATCAATCTGTGTGCAGGTCAGAAATAATTCCAGGCCCTTCGTTTTAGACTGAGATTGAATTTAGGGAGCTTTGTCGAGTTTATTAGAGCCAGCCAGTGCCACGCAGAGTCCTCTGCCGGTGAAGGATCGCAGGATCACCTCGCTGCCCATTACAGTTGGGTTTTGAGTAGGGCGCTCTACCATTCGGTAGTGTACACAGACGAGATTCAGTTTATTTAACTCTGGTGTCCGCTGTATAGTTACCTATGTCTGGGCTAATTGTCATAGCTTTCCTTTGGAGCTGATGGCAACGAGTGGTTCTGGCTTATGATTTAGAGGGAACATGTAGAATAACAGTTAGAAGCATAGCATTTGCCTCCCACAGATCTATATTGAGGTCTCATGTGGTTAAAAACTCTGTAAACATTTAGTGTTTTATTAACAGATGCTTTTATATGGCTTCCCTTTTCAGAAGAGGAAGAATGTTTCTATTCATGTGGAGGACAGCCTCTTCTCTCTTCTTCAGTACATTTTAAAGTGATTCTCCTAAAGTCTTAGCCAAATGCCTTTGTCCGAAATTGTATAATCTGTTCCTTGCCTGAGAGTTTAAAATGAAACTTTTGTTTGGTTTAGACACAGACTTTCCACTCTGGCTGACTGTAATAAAGCCAGCTTCCTCCCCCTGCCCCTGGATAACAGAAAAGTGATAACAGATTTTACAAACTTGCAAAAGAGCCTCTGTCTGGGAGGAAATATTTGAAAAATTCAGCCTGGAGGCGGATTTTTTAATTTTTCTCTACATTAATAACTTGGAAACAATGTCATAAAATCAACGTGCATGGAATTTCATTGAAACTGGTGTCCCTCTGCTCAGTGTAGGAATTTGTTCAGCTGCTGTGTTTACTAGTCCTGGGAGCGTCTCCTGAGGCACGATCCCAGTCCTGTAGTCTAAACGCAATGACACAGCAGCCCGAACCCTTAAACTCCGTATCTGTGGAATTACGTAGCCATAAGAGCAATATGTGCAAGTCTTCATGTGAACTCTGCCGTACCAAGGCAATGTATTAGAAGCCAGAATGTGTTGTGTTGGGCATACGAGCTTCCAGATTGTACGAGTATCTGTGTCGTAGGAGTTCAGTCACCATGAGTGCGGAGGGAGGGGGGAGATCAAGCTTTCTGACCCTTCTGTCTTATGTCAACAGGAGCCAGAAACACCTGAAGGTCAGGAAGAAAAGAAGAAAGATTCCAAAAAGCCAAAATCAAAGCTGCTCGAAAGGAGGTCTACCAGAACCCGAAAGTGCATAAGCTACAGGTCGGCAGCTTGTTTAAATAGCTTGTAAGACAAAGAAAAATCGTACTGTCGCTTCCTCTCTCGGGCAGCCCACCACTTCTCATGCATGCTTGCACATTTAAAAGAGGGGCCCAACTGAAGTGTCTTTGTTCTTTCCTCTGAATACTGGTTATGCTTGATGGTTGTAGAACAATGTGAGGTGGTATGGTGAAGGGATGATGCCTAAAAAAAGATCAAATGTGTGTGGTACTTTGTTCAAGAACACTGGAGAAGGTTTTGGTGGTTCTGGAGTAAGTTAAAGCTGGTGAATCGTACCTCTCCTTTCTGTTGAAAGGGGCACTTAATGCTTGAATCTAAAGACCGTAAATTCCTCTCTCTCTGTTTTGCCCCTTACTGCTTCTTTACGTGAAAAGGGCATGAAACTTAAAATACAATTATGAGAGAGTACCTGCAAAAACGGTCTGTAACTCTGCAGAGAAATTGCAATGATAAAAATGCAACTAGTAAATGAAAATTCACAGATACTTAGACTCTGCCCTTTCTGAAAGTAGAACAGGTCACGACCGTTTCCAAGTTCAGTATGATCTTGGTATTATCTTTTGTTCTCAGTATATGACCAAAGTGTTTAATAAGTTATTTTCTAAATAATCCCAGTGCCTTTTCAGTCCACCAGGCAAACAGGCTGCTTTTTGGGATTACAGAAGAATGCGGTTGCCTGAGAACTTGTGTTTTGTCCCAGCCACATTAAGAATATAAAAAAGAAGTACTACCTTTCCCACAGTACTTGCTCTGTGTAGACCTTTATAATGAAAAATCAGAACGTTAAAACTTGTGAAATCTTCCAACATAATTAAACCAATAACGGTGATTAAACGTTAAGTCAATCTTGTTTTGCTGTTGATAAGAGGCGTGGCTTTTTCCAGCCTGTTCAGAAAACTTGGTCTGACCTTGCTTAGCTCTTGATTTTCGGTAACTTTGTAAATCATCAGCAGAAGCCACACTAACGAAAGTGCCACTGCTGCTTTGGGAAATGAAGCAATTCTGTAAGGAACACTGTGCCACAGGCAAGATGATACAGATTTGCTATTCGTGCCAGGTCAGCCAGCATCTGACCAGGAGTGAAAAAATCTTGCCTGTAGGGTATCTGGCCCGACGTCAGCAGGGCACGTGCTGTGCAAAGACAATTTTTGTTGGAAATAATGTTTTATATAACATTTCTCTGGAAAAATCTTCCGAGACAAAATGACACAGCCTTTCTAACAGACTACATCACAGACACCGCTTTGCACCGGTGCAAATACCACACGTGTCAGCGTGTCACTTCAGATTTATACGTCCGCAGTGAAGTCCTCCTAGCGCCAGTGAGAACTGCGTCTGCTTTCCTTCAGCAGGGGAAAAGAAAAGCTAAACGTCTTATTCCGCTTACAGACCAGTCTGTATTGTGGGGCATTCTGGTTCTCTGAAGACTCGTAATCCCTTTGTATCACCCGAGTCATCTGTTTCATCCTCCCGTGAGCAGGTTGGCAAAAATCTGCGTTATGAATAAAGCAGCAGCAGCAGAAATGATGTTTTCGTTGCACCCAGTGGGCAGGCAGCTGTCAGCTCATGGTTGAGCTCAGGTTATTTGTTAGCAGCGCTTTGAAAGCGTTAAGTGATTTCTGACATTGTAAAGAGCTGGGTTGTTTTTTTTTTAGCATTGTGGAGGGAAAATAATGTTTGAGTAATGTGGAACTAATCTTATTGATGGAATAATTTCAGTCACTTCCTTGCTGTGTAAAGCTGCCTTGAATGTGACACGCAGTTGTTCAACTTAGAGAACGTAAAGAGCCCAGAAATCCATTGCCTTATTTTTAAAAGAATACAGAGTAATATTGGATCTGTTCTGTTCTTGTTCTACTGGAGGTTACTGTGGAGGACCAAGATAAATATAACTGTAATCTTTCTTTAGTGACTGAGAAGCTGAATCTTTAATGAAAGTATTGTCTGATTGTTAGTTGTTCGTATCTAAAAAAATTTAAAAAAAAAATTTAAAAATGAGAAGAAGAAAAACTTGCATCTAAATAAAATATCTTCCCCATATAATTAATATAATTTGTACTTCTGCACGGTAGATCTCAAGGTATCTGTTTGGCGATACAGGTAACAATCCTTTTTTACAGGATTTGAATTCCTAACTGAAGAAACAAACTGAAGTCATCTGTGTAAAAGGACTGAATCCTTTTTCCTCCATTTGCTGTTCCCTTTAAATTAGTTACTCAGAGTGCAGAGACTTATGCAGTTTTGCAAAAGCTGCTGCAGCACAAACATACTCAAATATTTTGCTTTTCTTTGTCCTGTATAGTTATGTTACATTACATTATAGCTTATTTGTATATAATTACGAAGAACTGCGTAGGGTATCTTTCATCTGTTCAGCTTAGGACGTTGCAGATTTGTAAAGTACAATTACTGTGAGCTTGAAGAAGAGAAAGAAGCGATCTGAAAGAAGTTTTCACTGAAAATTTAGACAGGATGAATAATTTTATTTTGACTTTAATAGGTGCTTTTCAGAAAGTCTGTTTGGCAGATTGGTAGTGTGTATGTCATCTAACAAAAAGTGTGGAAAAAATGACTAATACTTTGTGTGAAAAATGCCACCGATACCATCTTAAAGAACTTTCAAATTATATATTAATAAATGCAGTGGTATGTCATGTGAAGTGAAAGCGGGTTTCTGTTCACATAAATCAATACTAAGACAGCCAAGCAATGATAAATAATCTGCTAGCAAGAAAAAAGAAACACACCTTTTTAAAAATCGCTATTTTATCATCAATCTGGCCCATTTTCTTTATTATTTTATTATATATCCAGCCCGTTGCCTATGCAGTGTGATTTCTTGGAGCAGTTTTAGATTTCGAGGTGTGTTTTCATACTCTAATTTAATTAGGGTTCATTTCAAAGTGGTAAATGAAAGCTGTTACTTTTAGGTTTGATGAATTTGATGAGGCAATTGATGAGGCAATTGAAGATGATATCAAGGAGGCTGATGGAGGAGGTATGTTGCTGATGTTATTTGTTTTTCATTGCAATGGTGATAAATTTCTTTTGATATGAGAAGCAACAAATGTAATTCTCTCCCTTAAACTTTGTAGTTTACAGTTTTTACTGCTATATTTTTGGAATAAAATTAAATAATTTCCCTTGGGAATGACCATCCCAGGCTGCCAAAAGATGCCTAAAAGTATTTGCTCTTCATAGTTACATTCAACTTGTATATGTTTTGATATATGAATGCAGTGAATAAGCATGACAAGAGAACTCTTAAAATTAATTTGGTAAGTTTGGGATTTGAGATCAAAATGGCAGCTAGCACTATTGATGTTTGTCCCCTGTAAAAACTGGGCTCACAAATTGGTCCGCAGTTGGACCCCCTAAAGACCGGGTCTACAAAGTCTTCTTAAAGATACTCATCCAGGTCCATAAGCACTTCTCAGCTGAAAGTCAGTAAAGTGAAATTATGTTCTTCATTGCCTGTTAAGGGACCAAATAGGGGACCAAAAGAGAGATCCTCAACAATATTCGAGAGCTGTAGATGGATTTGTGCTTCTGCATCACCTGAACTTGCCTGGAGAAAACCGCCATGAACCGTTCTCCCTCGGTTGTCTGGCTTGTGGCATCTCCATAAGGACACCGGTTTTCAGAAGCTCGGTGGATGTGTACAGACAACCTGAAAACTGGGTGTCTGTGGGTGTGTAACGCGAGACCCATATAATAAACATAACCAAGTCTCAGCAGTAAAACCAGCTTGTCAGAAACTCCACTCCCTGGCCAAATGGCAACTTAAAACACTTTATCTCCCACGAAGAATATTCAGCATTATGAAGAAGATGTATTTTGGGATAGCTGCCCTACTCGAAAGGCACTAGCGTTGGTAATAATGTGGGGTGGGGTTGAAGATCAGAATGCTGACACTTAGCCGCTGTCTTCTATGTGCACCTCAGCATTTTCAGGTGACCCCAGCGGGGCTGCGTGTGTCAGGAACAAGGCTCCAGACAGAGCCTTGCCTGACAGAAAAATATTCTGCTTTACAGAAAGTAAGCTGAAGCTAGAGGCACGGAAGAAAGATATGTATAAAGTTAAACAAAAAATAAACTTACTCTTTTTTTCCCCTTTCTACCACTGAATTCAGGCATTGGCAGAGGCAAAGACATGTCCAATATCACAGGTCACCGTGGAAAAGACATTTCCACAATCCTAGAGGAAGAAAGGAAAGAAAACAAGCGACCACAAAGGGCTGCTGCAGCACGACGCAAGAAACGACGGCGACTAAACGACTTGGATAGCGACAGCAATCTGGATGAAGAAGAGAGTGAGGATGAATTTAAGATCAGTGACGGGTAGGTCTGCAATTTCACTTCCACCACAGGTCACAGACCGCCGCGGGCTTCTGTGACTCCGCAGTGCCCCTGAAACGATCGTTCGGAGCACGTGCCTTGGAACAGCGCTGCACAGTGCCAGCAAAAAAGTCCTCATGGCCTAGGGGAGCATCATTGCACTGGAAAAACTGCACTCCGGATCCATGGGCTGAAATAATCCAATCTGTATTTTAAGCAAAACATGTTCTGGAAATGGTACTGGTATGTTTGAGGCCACACTGCGGGGTTCCATACACGGTTGTGTTAGTGAGGGAGCCAGACGGGCTCAGTCCTTTGACCTATGGGACTTTCCAGCAGAAATCCTCAACAAAATTAGCTAAATGTAGCTAAAAAGTAGCTAAAATGAGGCTGGTTGTTTCCTTTTGAAAATATGTCCTGTTCTGTGGGATTTTTACTGGGCCCGATTGTCAGTTAGAAATTGGAAGAGTGAAATTTCCCTATTTAGAACCTACAGAACTTGACATGCAGGTTCTGAAGTTGAGTCTTGATATCTGCTCTCTAGGAGATAGAGTTTGAAGACAGCCAAAGAAGTGGTTTATACTGTAGAAAACATACCTGTCACGTGAAGCTTTAAACTCTAAACGAGTATTGCTCTGGGCAGCTGAAACTCTCTGTGGAATTTCTCGTTGTTCAGTCTGGGGAATTCCTAACATTAAAAAATTTAATAACAATTTTAGATGTCCTTTATGCCTCAGTGAGGAGACAGAATGGACCATGGGGCTGAGGCTCTTTAGCATCAGCATTGAAAGCTTTACACCAGTCACTGAGTCAATTTACTACCTGTACAGACAATCTGTGCAACAGAGATGCAAATTTTGAGCTTTGGTTTTCACCTGTGACCATGCTGAGGACATTTCAGTGGCACCCTGAATAGTTGAGCTAAATGCCCTGGAAATTTCCAATCAATGAGTGTAGCTTGCAGGAATCTCACAGAATCAATAGCCCATTGATCCGTTAAAGTGTGCTCCTGCATTTTCAACTCCATCCTTTGCTGAATGAAAATTGCGTAGGACAGTGCTTGGTTGGTGAAGGGGAGGTCATCTCTGCCAGGACACGGTGGGTGTTGTTTTTTCCCTCTACAGGGGAAACTCTACATAGTTACTGCTATGCAGATGTGACATTGTAGTGTACTATTTGCACACTCCAGAATCTGTCCTATGCAGATGTTCCCTGCAGCCTCAGCTGAATCTTTGCTTTGCATTATTATTGTAAGATTTGTGCGTTTTTTTGTGTACAACAGTACTTGTTTTGCATATATCGCTTGTAAAACACAAGTACTGTTCTGATTCTTTGTTTCCGACATCTGTGTTGTCCGGGGTCTCTTTTTGGACAGATCTCAGGACGAGTTTGTTGTATCAGAGGAAAATCTGGATGAAAGCGAAGACGACCCACCATCAAACGAAGACAGTGATTCCGAGTTCTGTGCCCGCATATCCAGGCGACACCTCTCCAGGCCCATGAGGCAAAGCAGGCGGTTACGAAGGAAAACAGTCAAGAAAAAATATTCTGAAGATGACGAAGACGAAGATTCTGAGGACAATTCAAGCAGAGAGTCTGGTGAGTGTAGGAAGTCTTAGAGATACGAAATACTCTGTGCTGGAGAGAGGGAGAATGGAAGTCTCACTTTCCTATCCCGCCTGACACTAACTTGTTGTGCTTGCTTTGGTGAAGTCAGATGCCATCTTTGCTGTAAAGCAGTTTGCTGCTTGTTCTGCTGTGAATATTGTGCAGGAAACTGGTACTGAGTAGAGGTTCTTGGCATTTTAAGTAATTATGTGTTTAAATGAATGCTTGTGCTGTGCTTCAGAAGGCCACCTTTGTGGATAGTTTCAGCTACCTTGTACCCTGTTTGGCACCTGATTGCAGGGAAGAGAAACGATGGAGTCAAAAATGTACTTCATTATAGCTACTTGAAGACCTTCTGAATACCTTCGAAAAAGCTTCTGAAACAAACATTTTCCCCTCACGTCATATGGGAGAAAATTCCTTCAGTTGTATGGCTTTCTGCTTTCTCTGGCAGGCTTGAAAGCAAACAATAACACCTTGAATCTCTCTCTTCTACAGTTATCCTTTTTGATCTGTAGTGACTGAAGACGCTTGCATCGCGCGAGAAGCTAATAATTAGTTTATTCTGCTTGCCCTTCAACCAGTTCGTTTTCTGTTTGCACAGTCTGAAGTGTGAGAATAGTACCTGTGCACTACTTAAACCTTTTCACGATTGGCATCTTTCTCCGAAGACTGTCCTCCGTGTTTCTGCTTCATTTGAGACCCAGTCCTAGAAAATGCCAGATATATAATTATTTTTTTTTACTTATTTTTACTTATTTGGATTGTGGATTTAAGGTACTAAGTACACTGGAGTGTTAACTTACTGCAGTGTGTGTTACCTTTCCAGTGTTCTATCTGTGTCTCTAGACTATAGATGAGGAACGTGTTAGAGTACGTTGCTTTGAAGCACGGGTTTCCAGGAGGGTTCATGCATGGCCAGATGGAGATGGCTGTATGCACTTACAGTAGTTGCTGTCTCCCGGTCCCGAAGGCATCGTTGCACTAATTGAAAGCTGTTACCAGTGAAGATACTGGCCAGAGTCTAAAGAGATCACTCATCTATTCTGTAATGCACAGAAGCAACTCTTTATTTCCTAGTGGACGCACATCTGTGATAAAATGAGCTGATTCCAGTGTCATTCCACATCCAGCTAAGAGTACAGTCTTAACTGTGTGTTTGTCTCTTTTACCCCTGTTGTTGTCCCTCAGGATCCTGCTTTACGCCTGTTTTGAGCTAGAGAAGCCAGGTACCCTGTGAGTGGCTCCATTTTCAGTCTCCAGAGAATGGAGTTTTCTTTCTGAAGGTGGTTACTCTTGTTGACTTGCTCTGATTCTTGCTCTGATATTTTAGGAAGTAAAGAGGATGCCACTTAGATCTGTGACTCATGTCAATCACTAACTTAGGAACGGTATGTGACATGTATAGAAATGCATCTTGGGATAATTGTGCTGGCTCAGCTCAGTGAAAAAGCAGCTGAAGTTGATTCAAGGCTATTTTCAGCTGAGGTAAATAAATACAGTTCTTAAAGACGCTAGCTGCAGTGGACTGGTGCAGGAAGAACTGTGAATCACGGTAAGTTTCTTCTGGACAGTTTCTAGTTTAAGCAAACTTACGATCTAGCGAGACTGATTTTTGTTGTTAATTTAAATTGTGTAATAATGTTAACTGGAGTTTCATCTTGTCAGTGGTTTTCATCTACCTATTCTTAAAAGTGTTCGAGTAGAGTACAATTTATTTAAATTTTAAAAACAGAAAGACCTTTCCGGTGTCAGTGGTAATGTGCATCATCAGCTCCAGTTCAGTGCGGTTGTTTCAGCTGGCAGGAGTTGTAGAGGAGGCATCTTTGGCACCAGCAGAGATGAGGGAACAAAAACACTGGAAGGAAACCTTCTTCTGGAGGAGTTTGAGGGAGACAGGAAAAGGGTTTGTGAGAAGGTCTTAAAATCAAGCAATTCTGCGCTGGCAATGAACGGGGGAGCTGATGCATGAGCCTGGAACGGGTCAGGGTAACGAGGCGTGGGCGTTGAGACTCTCCTGGGCTGGAAGAGCACGTGATTTTCTTGGTGCTGGTCTAGAGCTGATCTAAATTGTGCAGTTTTGCTTTAATGGAATAACGCACGTCACCGTTTTCTTCTGTACAGAGAGCGGTGATTACACAGATTACAGTGATGACGATTACCTGGAAACTAGGAGGAGAAGGTCAAGACGGAATCAGAAGAGACAAGTTAATTATAAGGAAGATTCAGAAAGTGATGGCTCACAGAAAAGCGTCCGATATGGGAAGGAGTTAAGAAGAGTCCACAAACGCAGGCTCTCCACTTCAGATAGTGAAGGTAAAACAAACAGTCCACCGTTCGCAGAAGCTGGCGTATGTCAGCGTTCGCGTGAAGAGATTTCGGAGAATCTTCTTTCTCAAATTCCTTATGTTTCTCAGAAACTGTTTCCTTCTGAAACAGTCCACTGGTACTTTCTGATGCACTGTTACAGTCATTGCTCCAAGTCCTTGTCCCCAGTCCTGACTTCCAGGTCTGATTTTACTGTGTCTGGCACGGAGTGCTGGAATTCCAGACTTGGCACTGGTACAACCGTTTTCACCACTTTTCTGTTAAGAGGTCGCAAAGCTTTGTCCCACGAGCCTTTAACGATTCTCTTTTGTAGGAGAAAGGGTGTCACTTCTGGTGCCCTGACTGTATTTGTGCCGGCGGTTAAGCCTCGGTCACTCTCCTGTTTGAAGGAGCTGTGATAAGTACGGAGGCAGCCTGCTCTAGGTAATGTCAGTCGCACCGTTGGCGACTGCTGCGTATTTTGATATAAAATTAGCTTTTACAAAAGCGACCGCTGACTTTGGGCACTTTGCATCCTGGGCGCTCCTCTTCTGAGACCTTAGGTCCAGCTCGCCGAGGCGCTGGGCGGTACGGCTGGCAGCGGGTGCCAGGCTTCCTCTGAAAACCGGCCGCGCGTGACAGCCCGGGCGCCTCTGATCTGTCAGTAAGCTTTGGAAGTGCTGGCCCGAGTTTACAGAGCTTTAGAGGATCCTCTTAGATGAAGGGAAACAAGTACAGTGCAACCACGTAGTATCTCAAAAACTTGAGCTCATACTTCAATACGGTCTGTTCTCAGAAGCGCGATGCGTATGTAGGCTCTCTGCTAGGAATCTGCTATACGGTGGCTGAGTTTTTTGCTGCCTGTGCTTGTGACTTGAAACAGCAACTGATTTGACAGTGTCTTTTCTCCACGAAATCCCATTTCCTCAGGTATTTTTGGTACTGGCTTTTTGCATATTAAAATCAGCACCATTTAGTACCATTCCAGTACTTCCCCACAGTGTGTTATAAAGTATGTAGCAGCGTTAATGGAAGTGTAATGATGTTGCAAATACAGGAACTCTGACAGAGTCGCTATCAACTTGAACCTACATTAAATGATACCTTTTAAAATGACAATTCATGTGCATTTCTAATGGGAGTCACAAGGAGACAGCAAATGGTGTTGGCCATTTGATGTTTCAGTCTCCGTCTTTCCTCAACGAAGCCATCGAAGGTCAGTGTACAGGCTGTCAGTCTGCAGGCAATATTCCAGTTTGCCAAAAAAGAGGCCTCCCATTAAAGGGCAGCAAACTTCAGGTGACAGTTAGGCAGCATTTGTGTGCTTTGGAAGAAGTTGTATATAATTTGGGGGTGGCGGGGGTATGGTGCAGTTGTGTGTGTATATATATCTATATCTATCTTTTTATGATAGCACAGCCATTATTTGGGCTCTCAGTTTCTGGAAGGGGGTTGGGCAGGTGCCGTGAGATGAGGGATGCAGTTCTGCGTTACTCCCAGCACGTAGCCATCACCTGCCTCCAAAGCCTCTGGTACTCCTGGGACTGGAATCAGAATAGCAGCAAATTGTTGGTCTTTGCTTCTTGAGCCGTTTATTTAAAAAGTCAAAAGAATGCAAACGTTTTGGTATGGTTGGGGAAGGAGAGGGAAATGTGTGTGGTGAGAGAGAGAGATGGCTTTTTAATGAGCATGAAAGATGAAAAATAAAAACGTGTAATTGTTTTGGTTGCACTCAGATTTGCTAATGGCTTTAAGTCTGCTGCTTATTGCAGAGAGCTACACATCTAAGAACTCTGAAGACGATGAATCCACCAAGGAGTCAAAGCGATTGATTCGAAAACGTCGGCGAAGTACAGACGACTACTCTGAGGAGGAAGGCGAGGATGAGGAAGACGAAGGGAGGCCTGTCCGCAAACGGCTGAACCGAATCGAAACAGACGACGAAGATAACTGCGAAAATACTAATGACAACGCGGAAAACCCCGCTCCTGCAAATAAGCTGCCAGCACCGCAAGCTCCTCAAGACAACACCAAGAAGCACTGCTACCGGATAGAAAGCGATGACGAAGATGACTTTGATAACGTAGGGGAAGTAGAGAGCCCCTTGGACTACAGCCTGGCGGCCTTGCCTTC